TATCCTCAAATGTCAGAGCAAGGGAGGAAGAGACAGACCAAAGAAAAGCAGAGAAAATCAGAAGAGGGGAAGACAGTAGCATCTCTCTGTGGCCAAGGACAAGTTTGTAAAGTCTCAAAACACAAGCCAGTTTCCATAAAAACCATCAGAAGATTTGTCTAAGCCATTCAGCTGTACTTCAGACTCTTGAGGAGTAACTGTAGGAGCCAGTGGGAAAGCGTTTTTTCAAGCCTGACAGAAAAGTCAGTTCAACAAAAATAGATGAGAATGCCAAGTCCCAAAATCAGAGTTGAGCAAAGTGTCAAGGAATGCAGGGAATGCAGATACACAGCCCATAGTCACTGCTGAACCGAAGGGCAAGAGCAGAAACAAAGATCAGCCACACCTGCTTATGCAGTCTCACCCTCAGAGGATGCCTTTTCCATAGCAGTGGGCAGTTGAAAAAGGCACATGAAAGCTCTTAGATTGCCTTTGTCTACAGCCCTGTCCAGAAGCCAAAATTAATTTCAATCTGTCTTAATATACTGGGCGGTTCAGATGGAAATCTGAGTCCCTTTTAACTGCTCTGCCACAAGGGCAATCGCCTTCAGGATGGGAGTGGGGCATACTGCCTTAGAAAGCTTCAGCTGTTCCAACACATTCCTCCATTTCCCACCACCTGAATCTGAATGCATGCTAACGTTATATGGACAAGATTAAGTCCTTCAAGATTTAATTTGCTTATAGTGAAAGGAACTGAGAAAGAACACGTACCTATACTTGGCACCTTCATCTTGATCCATCTGTGTTTGTACCTGAGCAAACCAGGAGAAGAACTAGAAGAGAATTTATGGTGTGAATAATACAGATACCACATGCAGTCAATGAAAAAAAAAATATAGTCAGATTATGAAATGAAGATGAGCTTTTTTTAAAAACAGGTGTTTTAGAACTTAATTATTTATCAAGGAAACAAACTATAACTCCTCACAGTAGGTCCCAAGTGAAATACTCTATTCCTCCACTAAATTAAAATGGGAAAGACTGAATTTCACCTAGTTTTATTTGCACCAGAACAAGGCTGTCACATTAGAAAGGGGGGGAGGGCACAACATTCTTCTATATTGTGACACCACCGCCTTACTCTCACGTAAGACTCCACTCAAAATGGGAAAAGCATGTGTCACTTCAGAGCTAAGACTTTAACAAATCCCCCCACCCGCCCCCTGCAAGTTTCTTCATGCATCTTGAAAACGGCCCCAAAAACTTAACAAACCCACCAAAAGCTAGGCAAGAGACACGGAAACTCACAGAATTCTCTGAAGAAGATTACCGCAACTTGGAGGTTATTCAGCATCACTTACCTGCTGTGCTGTTTCAATTCTTTCATCCTCCATCCCCAGTATGGCAAATCCTTTCAAGAGGACATCCTCTGTGGATTCTGGCACTGCAGCCGTCAGCGTAACAGTTAGTGACTGGGATGTCAGGCTGCACAAATCTTCAATTGGAAGCTGCTCACAAAAATCCACAAACTTTAGTTAGAGAATTTACTAAGAATCAGTATATTCAGTTCAACTACATTAACACAGTCCAAAGCACAGACTTGAGAAAATTACAAGTATCTACTTTTGAAGAAACAAATGCAATGGAGATTTTATCAATACAGCAATACACCAACAACTACCATGCCTATATATTCAGAAACACCTAACAATTGTTTTTTGAAGTCAGAAAATATTACACATCATTTTATACAAGTACACGTTTGTGCAAGAAGATAAACTGAATGTACATGTACCTGGCATACTGATGAGCTATAATTTAATTTCCAATTTAACTGGTTCTATACCCAGAGAGGTGCGCTAGAAAAGTATCTGAGAACATTAGAATTCAGAACGCAGGCAAAGAAGCAAAAATAAATGCCACTGTTGTTCCTCTATGTGGCAACGCCATCACACAGGAATTATCAGATTATTTTGCCAGGCATTCAGAGAAAATTCAAGACTTAACACTGCCAGAATTTATTCAGGAAATAGTGTTTCAACTGCTTTTTAGTGAAGAAGTCAAGCTAAAAAGAAAAGCTTTTTCAGAAGACAAGGAATAGCTCTGCTGACTGGGAATTATTGGCAGCAATGACTTTTTAAGCAAGAAAGATATGGAAAAGGTAACTTGAGAGAAACTGAATTCAAGTATGATTGGAGACTATTAATTAGCTTATCTGGAAGAAATTAATTCAAGAAAAAATATCATTAAACACAATTACCCTTTTAAATTCACTTTACAAATAAAGTATGTTTTCTATTGATGAGAACGTCGGTAATATAAAAACAGAAAATGCTACTTAAATACAAATTGGTATCTCTCTAGAACATTATCCGGTTAGTAAAATATTCATTGCCTAGTAATTCTACTAATAGTATAATAGAAAGAACAATCAGGATTTCAACTATCTGACAACAGACTGATTGACCTACCTTGTTCAACTTCCATCTGTCTCTCCTGCCCGCCCCTCAAAACAGGCAGGACCCTAGCTGGGGAGCTCAGGTTTCTCTCGTGACGAGGAAAAGCCGAGTAAATCAGCACCTGCTTTTTCAGAACAACCGAGACACCACTGTCCCAACCTGCTTCAGGAGCCAAGACCAGCTGAACCACGCAGTGTCTTGGCATCCCTGCTGTCCTAACCGGCAAATACGGCACCTGCCTTGTGGCAAAGCTGGTTTAGAGCCTTAAGAACATCCTCTGATAGCAGCACATCCTCCTACAGCCATTTTGCATGCCTGCCAATATTTACTTCAGTGCAGTTGCATACGGCTTACGCAGAAAAGAAACCAGGAAGCATGAGATGAAACAGGTGCATTTCAGGAAGGAATTGCTTTACTCCCCCTCCCCTTTTTTATTTTGACCTTTCAGACACTTGCCGAGAGCCAACTTTGTTGATTTTACGGCACTGTATCTTGTGCTACAATCCTGTTCAAATACAACACCTCTCACGAAAAGTGCAGTTAAGGAATGCAAACATTCCGCTCCCCTTCCCTTTGTAGACAACGGAGCATTTGTATATAATCACATCAGAAACTGGTATTTAATAACCAAGTGGGAGATCACGTCTTCCACAGTAATGACAATTTTTTATCCCATGTTCCTGGCTTTACACGGCTCGTTGAATCATCTGTAAATCGTACCAGGCAACAACCTCGGTGCCGGCAGCTATGCGTTTGATCAGGACCAAGTTAAGAGGACCAAATCCACGCAACTCCGCGACTGAGGCTCTCGATTTCAGGAGAGCGAACTCGGATGGCCTGAGGGAAGTAGTTAGGGCAGGCAGAGAAAGCCCCGTGGATTTTAAGGGGAAAGCTGCCACCGCTGCCAGGGCGGGCGGGCAGCTTCGCGGCCGGAGGCGGCTCGGGAAAGCGGCGGTGTCGGGGCCCCTCCGGCCTGAAACCGCTGCCGAGCCCCGCAAAACACGGCGGGGGGAAGCGGCGGCCCCGCAGGGCCCAGGCGGCGGGGCCGGGCCGGGCCGGGCCGCCACCTCCGCCCGCCTGACGACGTGGCACCGCGGCGCTTCCCTCCCTCCTTCGCCTCACCTCGGGCGGCACCGGCAGGTTCTCGGCCGCCGCCTTCAGCTCCAGCACCGAGTCCGTCTGGCGGTCGCTGAGCGGCGCGGCGGGCTGCGGGCGGCGGTCCCACAGGCTCAGGCGGTCCCGCGCGTCCCTGCCCGCCGGCTCGGCGGGCGGCGGCTCCGCCATGCTGGCAGCGGGAAGCGGGCCGGGGCGGAACGCCGGGAAGCTCGGCGGTGCTTCCGGGAAGGGGAGGAAGGAAAGGCACGGCGCGCTCCACGACGCGTCGCGTGGCAGCGACGTCATGGGTGGGGGAGAAGTACGTCAGCGTGGCTGGTCTTGGGTGGCGCCCCCTAGCGGCGGGGAGGAGCGATGGATGCCGAGCCCGGCAGCCATCTTTCCCGGGGAGGGAAGGCGGCAGGACAACCCGCTGCCGTCAGAGCTTCCCTGACTCTGACGTCACACCCCTGCGTGCCCCTCCTCATCTCTGACGTGCGCTCTGGCGCTCGCCCAGCCCTGAGGCAGGCTGCCATCGCTCCTCGTCCTACGGGTTTGCGCTAGGGGCTCTCTCCCTCAAGGGTCAGGAGAGCGCTGAGGCAGCCCGCCATTTTGGCAGCGTACACATCCAGCCCACCCGCCTTGCTCCTGAGCTGGTTTTCATTTTTCCTGCAGCATGGCCTGTTAGCCAGAGCTGCTTTTTAGGCCATGCCTCAGAGATGGGCTGCAGCATTCATTCTTCACTCCATTATCTTTGGTTTGCTGTTGGTTTTTGTGAACTTTTATCATTAGACTTGAAACCAAATCCTAACTAAGGTATGTCTGAATTCAAGAGCTTGAAAATTGCTTGAGGTACTCAGTGCAGCAGTCACCTTCTGCTGAGATCCTGAACTCCCATTTAATTACTGAGGCCCTCTGTGCTTAGCAGATTTTACAGCCCATTCTGTCCATCTGTCCCTCCCCAGCTTCCCCACAGAGTAACCGGTGGAGTGCGCTCCCACCCTGTCACTCCAAACCTGCAGGTTCCTCGTCTCAGAGCTGCATCTGCCAGACTTGTGCTACCACGCGTGACCTCCAGAAATCCACTCTGGTTACAAGTGTAATAAATGTATTTCACTGCTACACAAAACTACACGGATTGATCTGTTCTGGACCAAGTGTTTTCATAATAGAGTAGGAAATGGCCTTGCAGTTTAAAATACACCAAAGAACAGTGAAAACATGTTGTTAATGCGTGCTATTCTGCCAGTAAGTTACAGGAACATGAGCTTTTAACTACATCAACTTTAGTCTGCCTTGGCTAAATAACCAATAACATCACACAGTTTAATGCCAGCAACAGCTTTCCTTTGTTAAATCACCTGGAAATATTTGAAAACCCACTCCCACCCCCATTTGAAACTTAGAAAATTAAAGCAGTTCAGAGCCATTACATAATGATTTAAAAACTTTTAATAAGCTTGAAAATGTAAAACATACTTAGTTTACAAAAATATTTACAAATATTTCTACTAAAGCATAGAAACAGCTGTAAGGAAAAACATTGCATAAAAGGCACAATGTTTTTCCTATGTATATGGGAAAGAAAGTGCTTCGTGCATTTAAAAATCCATTTGTGAATTCAAAATCAGTAATTTTAAGTGATTATAGTAATTTTGAAATCACGATGAAACGTCTTTAAGTGGAATGTACAATTAACCAAAAATGTTTGAGATTAACACAATGCCACAAAAACGCAAAGCTATGCATCCTGCTTTGCTACCCTCTGTGAACACAGAAGACCACCGTACGACCTGCAACTCTCACATTTCCTCTCCTGGAATTCCACAGCAACATTTGTCAGAACCTTGACGTAACTGTTTAGTTAATGGCCCTGAAGTTTTGATAAAGCATTACCTTTTGGCTTAAATGTGTAAGGAAGCTGTGGTGGATTTCTACATAAAGTGCTTACTTGCATGTAATAGCAACCTGGGCCTATTTGCTGTATGAAAGCGCTCAGTAGTTCTGGGCTTGAGTGTCTTTTTAAAGAAGGAAAGCAGTCTTTATAGTAGGCTTACCTTTGGAGGTGTTTGGTTCTTTTCACACAGGCACCTACATGACAGCCTGAACTGCTCAGCATAAAAGTCACATCTTTCAGATGATACATAACAGCCAGTAACCCTTACAAGCAGTTCTTCCCAACAACAGAAGCAGGATGGCAAGTTTCTCTGCAAGATAGGCAGATGAGTATGGACTTGTTTGAACTTCAGTCCTACTTGCAATTTACATATGAATATGTTGAAGAATCACACTGAAAACTGGGGAAAAAAAGCTTTCCTCCAGCTATGCAGAACCGAGAACTGTAGTAACCACACTTCAAATGAGGCTGGGTAATTCCCAGCAAATTATGCAGACATCTAAGGACCTGGAACACTGAAAAGCTTTAAAACCAGAAGATTTTTGTATTGCAGCAGGTATTTTGCTGAACTGAAAGCCTGCAAAGATGCCTTGTGACACTTCCAGTTAATTAGAAACTATAAACTATTACAGTCAAATTCTGAAAACAGGAAACACCCAGCTCCTTGGTACTACTTATCTTCCTTTACAGAAAGGTTGTTCTTTGCCTCTTACACCTATAAACACTGTGCATCTGAGTCTCAACAGCATCAAGTTGCATTGCACCTCTTCACATTCAAGAACACTTAAAACAGTTGACAGAAGGTATTCCGCCATGTTTGATTCAGTCTAGAAAACAGGGCAGATCGTCCACGGAATCACGTGAGCAAGCCATCACTACAGGAGCCTGTTTGCCTTGAAATCACTTCCAGGTTGTTCTCATGCACAACAGTCTTGTCATGCCCTCCTCCTCTGGCCGGCATCTCAGACAAAGACCAGGTACCCAGGAAAATTTACAAGTTGCTCTAAACTCAAACAGTACGTGAACAGAATTCAGTATACAGTTCAGCATGTCAGTCTAGTTTCTTCAGCTGTTCGTATGTAAGAAAGAACTGGAACAGTTGATTAAGGAAAACTTTTCTGTTAATGCAGTGTAAAATGGTCACTTCATTACTAAAAGCCAGCAACATTTGTGTGAAACTTTGCTCTTCTCAGTTCCCTCCTATGTAATGGTACCAGTTGACCATTTTTGTTATGTGGAACAATAAAACTCGCTTCAGGGCACACCTGTATATCAGAAGCTTTAAGGCTGATGATGCCAACTGCTTTCTCATCCCTGTTCCTCAGGATCTTAAACACAAGACTGAGGAGGCAGGAGAGTACTATGAAAGCTCTTAGAGATCTTACTTAGCTTTGATAAGCTAAAGTAGGTTTGCTTATGGTAAAAAAACAAAAAAAAAAAAAAACAAACAAAAAAAACACCACCACCACCACAAAAAAACCCAACACATTACTACCAACCTACTTCCCAGGGTTTCAATCAGCTGGCTCTTGAAACCCAAATGAAGTTGTGTGAGACTAAGATAAATACAAAAAGATTTCATAGCTAACTGCCAACAGGTTCCCCAGTTCGAGAAATAACCCCCATTTCTAACTCATCTGGTCGGTTTTAAATAAAAAACTGGGCTCCGAACTAAGGAAATGGACAAGTATGAACTTGGAAAAACAGAAAAGTGTTTTATAAGATTACATTCTAATATCACTCTGTGAATCACAAATTCAAATCTGACCAGCAGCATTTGACTAAGAAAATGGTCAACTACACAATGTTCCATTCATAAAAAGGGAATATTTGTGCTGACATGACACTTTCCACAGAGCACTCCATGAGACTTATGTCAAGACTTGCTGTTGTATGGCTAGCTTTGCACACCTTGGAAAAGGATACAATGATATTCCAAGGACCAAGTCTTAACCAGTTTGGCCAAAACCCTTTATATAGAGCAAAAAAGCCTTCATTCTTCCATGTCTGGAATAAAACACATCAAGAACACACTTATGTAAGTCTTCATTAGTAAGAAATCTCAATAGCATCTCAGCTAACAAGATTTTATACTACTGAAAGGGATTAGTTTAAAGCTTTAATCTTGATTTAAATACATTGTGTGATGGGACAAGGAAACATTTCACTAGATAAAGCCAAGATTAGTAATGCCTGCAGCATTATCTGGCAGGTAAAGACGCAGTCCATGTTATTTAGTACCCAACCAAATTGCATTCCTGGACTTGTTTTTTCAAAAGCCTTGCAGAGAGCTGCATGTAAATCTGCAGCTCATGTTAGGCACCCCCCTTAAAATTTTTCATTTTGCTTTATGGACTTCACAAAATTGTACTGGACAGTGTGACTTGGACTGTTACACAGACTGGACTGTTCAGTCAACAGTTTGGACAGCAACCGCTTCCTATCCACTCTTCTCCATGTAAAAGGCCATCATGCTCCCACCTCATACCCAGTTTAGGGATTGAAGAATCCAAGCCAAAATAATCAAAATCAGAGACTGACATTGTCTTTGGCTGTAGTAGGCTCTCCATTATGCAGTAAGAAACAGAGAAAACCATCTACCCACAGATGTTCTTTAAGAACTGACCCATGAAATAATCATTTCCTACTGATATCCTAACATCGTATAAAGTTAAGTAAGAGACAGTGCTGCTGAGAGACTTCATCTACTCATCCAAGTACCAAAAGGAAGCAAAAAGTGCCTGCAGTACATAATAACTTTCTCCCTGCCCTTCTGTCAAGACAGGAGATCATTTTCACACCAAGTGCATTACTGGCATTACAGTCCCTTTGAGCATAAGGGCAAAAAGCATATCCAAGTTACTTGAATTAATTTATAGAGAAACTGAACAATTTAAAGTTCTACACCAAAATCATTGCTTGATTGCTCCAGTTTCTACTTATCTGGATATGTGAACTACTTACTTGTAACAAGCAATCCAAAGTACCCTTGTAGTTTGAGTGTCCTCCATGCTGTTGGCTTCTCTGATTCATCATGCGTGTTCTTACAACATCAACTGGGTTGGAGGCAAGAGCTCCAGCTAACCCACAAGTAAAACTTGAGCTAATAAAATAAAGGTTTAAAGAAATTTGACATACCACATTTAAAGATCCACAAGAATTCCCCCTCCTCAGAAAACATGTAATGATGAGTGCTTGATGCTTTTAGTTACAAATCACATCAGCTAATAGACATGAAAAATTATTTACTATAAAGCATAATTTTGAAGATTTGACATACAGCCTTTGTATTCAGTTTCTGTATTCTTGAACAGATGTTTAGCAAATATTTGATTGGAACTTTCCTCTAACCTCAATTTGCAAAGCTGAATGAATCAAACCATCCACAAAACAGAATTCCATATTCAAAAGGAATTTAAATCTAAATCCTAAATAAAATCAGCTTCCATGATGCTATGTGCTACCATTTGAGATGCTATTGCATTAAAAATTATAAATACATCAGAAATATTTTTACATCTAGACTGATAACAGAAAAATCAAAAGATTCATCCCCCATAGTGAAAAGTAACCAATTATAAGCTATGCAAACAGTTAGTTATACAAACTTACAGGAAGTGAGTATATACTGTATCTCCCATAAATCCAGACATAATTATGTGCTTCTTGGTAAGGTCATACACTGGCAGTTCCACTCCAACAACAATAGCAGCTCTCTGTGCTGTCAGTGATACTCCCTGTCAAAAGAACTTTAAATTTCAACTGTACCCTTTAATTTTCATGCACCATCAGAAAAGCCTAGCTTTTATAATACAAAGCAACACACCACAAATGCGTTAAGAACATTTTGAATTCAAATAAGGCTAATTACTACATATCTTAGATGTCTGTGCTCCAAAAATTCAAATTAATAGATAAATCACTTTTCCATGCTGAATAGCAATTTCTGTTCCTTAATGCTACTCCATCTTTGCTTAACATCCAAATTCTTACATCAGTCAGCTAAGACCTCAACAACCAGGTGATACTGGCTCCCCTCACTGCTAACTAAAAAACTGACAAAGTTAGGAAGATGAACAGAAAAATGGAGATCAAGAAACTTTGCAGAGAAAAGCACGGTAATAGAAAGACATTTCTATTTTCCAGCTGTTTCAGAACAGTTGTCCGTTCTTGGTCTTCAGCTGTTACAAAATCACTGATTGTAACTGGCATAAGAGACAACCTACAAGACTGAGTACAAGAATTCCTGAGCTAGAGGAGATGTTCATTAGTACCTTTACATACAAATGTGCTCTAGCATACATTTTAAAAAGAGCAGAGCGTACAGACTGTGAGATGTCTTGCAAAGGGTTGTTGAACTGGTCATGGAGCTAGTCACCCTAATTTAAGCCTCCATTTGTCTCCCTTTTTAAAAAAAAAAAAAGTGGCTAATCCTTGAATACAAGACTGGCAGTAACCCTTCAGCAAAATGCACAGACACACCAGCAGTGAAGTAGTCATGACAAACTACATCCATACATGCTAACTACTGACTCCTCCATATTTTGGCTGAGAATACTATAGAACTGTGTGAAATTCAGTTGAGCAAGAAAGCGTACTTAAAAGTATAGGACATAGTTCAAAACCACTTGCCTTCCATAATCCTTTAGCACCTTCCTTTTGGTAGATCTGTATGAAGTTGCCCATCATTCCTCCTTGAATCACGCTACCTTGGGCTTGCATTCTGATCTGAGATTCATTTGAAGGTAAAATTAGAAAATAATTTTCAAACACACGACCAGTAACCATTTAATAGTCTTATTAATGTTAAGTTGCAATCTGTTATTAAGTAGTAAAGTCAACTTCTCTCTGAATACAGATCAACAGCTGACATTATCATAACCATGATGCAATGTTTTGAAGTGCCTTAACTATCCAAATGCAGCTGCTAATTTTGAACGAGTACGTGGTGTAGTTCTTAACTGCGTTAAGTCACTTCTATTTCTGTACTTGCACACTACTCCATTTAGATTAGACTGACAGATGGGTTCTGCAGGATGTCCTTTACAGTGTTTTTACAGGAACATGTTAAAATTAAAGGTTAAAAAGATTAAGGGTTCAGATAGTGAGAACCATGGTCTTGTGGATTTCTACGAATGTCCTTGGGAACCTGCCATGGTAACTACCAAATACAAGTTTGGTGACAAGCAAGTTGGTACATGGACATAATTTTGGAAAATAACTAAATCGAAGCCACACTTGAAATAGAAGCTTATGTTTGAAATGCCTCTACATAGTCACACTAGCCCTATGAAGAATTAAGTTTTAAGTAGTTTTAAAAAAATGGAAAGAGTTTTCTTGAATTTTTCATTAGGGGCAGCCATGTAAATCACATGCTACACTTTTCTAAGTTAAATACTATCAACTCTAAGGAACCAGAAAAGAGGTCACTGACTAGCACTAAGCTAACAGTTTCTTAGAGGTGATTGTTTCACCAACTCACTTTAAATGACTGATGCTGGAACACTATTTCCATGGGATACTGGATTGCAAAGCCTCTCTAAAGGATTAAAGAATCATACAGTACAAGTAGCACTCACTGAAACTCTTGCTTCTGAATTGATCTTCACCTATTTTTGGCTCTAGAAATGTTCTAGTATAAGTGTTACCCAGAAGTATAGATGAAATTTGCAGTGTGGCTTCCACTCAAACACTATAGCATGAAAGTTAAAGAGTCATCTTAAATTATTCTCTCCCCACTCCCGGAAGAAGACACATGGATCCAACTACCTCCCCCCAGCCATCAGTTTCCTGTTACATACTTCCAAATAATTAGCATGGACCATAAGGAGGCTTCAAGAATTCAGGATGTCACTGATTTTTAAAAGCTGAGCAGGGAATAAATAGGGTTACAAACCAACAAATTCTATATTAATCAGGAGATTCTGCATTTCCTCAAGGAGGGGACAAAAACTAAGGACAAACAAACTCTACATAACACATAATTACCTTTAAGACATCTGTAGGGTTGGCAATAGACGATGAGATTACTCCCGAAAGAATGCCACATAGAACATTTATCATCAGGGTTTCATCTGTTCCATAAACAAAGAAAAATAATTAAGCTTTGTAAATCTGCAGCTAAAGATGCATGAGGGCAGGCTGATGCCACCCCTCCTTTAACCAGAGAGAGTGCCAACTACAGAAGCCTTAAACCGCTTTGACAAGTCTTCCTTGCTGACTCATTGTGCTGTAATTGGTACAAGGAATGTCTTCTCAGTAGAGTTGTTCAAACCGCTACAGTAAGATACCAAATGGAAACAACCAACTTCAAGCTAAACAGTCCTCAATTAAATTGAAAAAACCTACTCACCCTCTGGATGCTCAACAAACATTCTTTTTAAGCTCTGGTAAGTGCCTATTTTTATAGTTCCGTATGAAGCTTGACGTAACATTGCTGGTGCAATCCTGTAAAAATAGGCAGTGATAGTATTTATGATCAGAATTACAAAAGACTGATTAGCAAATACTTTTTAGAACAGGACAGACTGAACACAAGATATCTATCAGAGAAAGGTTTGTTCATTTACATCATCAATTTAAGCTCACTGTAGGCAAAACAAGGTCTTGCATGTTTGTTTTGTTTTTTTTGTTTGTTTGTTTTTAACTAAAGCCTGCAAGAACATGAATAAACTGTAGAAGTATTACTATTAGAGCATGCCTCAACTTGTGATCTGTAAAATAACTGGCAAGCCTGTCTGAAATGTAATCTGCAGATTACATCTTTCCCCACGCATCCTGCATGTTTTAAAGAAAAGCATGCCTACTTACACACAAAAGTTAATTCAATTTTTCTTATAACTGAGAAATGGAACAGCAACAGCAGCACTGTATAAAATAACTTTATGCTTAGTCTTTTCTTTGTGAGTATTTTTTTAAAACATTAAATGCTATTGCAGAGTGCAAGTATTGAAGAAATCTAAGCTTGGGCTTTCAACTTCCAGATCAACTGAAGCTAACCAAATACCTTGTAAATATGAAACTCAAGAATTCACACATTATGGACTTATCAATACACTGTTCATAAACCATTACTGCAAGTCAGTTAATTTTACCCAGAGTATAAAGCTTTCAATCCTTCTTCTCTGCATATTCTAACTAGTGCATGCATCATTCCACGGTAGCGGATCTCTTTATATTTGGCATCATTAACTTGACCTTGAACCTGCAGACGTGTTTTGGTCAGATCAATGGGGAAAGTACCTTAAAGAAAAATCAGAGAGAAAATTAATCAAGTACTTACCTAACCAAATACAACAAAGAACATGATATAAGAAAAAGCAGCCTTTGGTATATACTAAAATATATAAAAATACTCCCAGGGGAAGAAAAGTCTCTCTTACCAAGACTTTCTTTTAAACAAGTGGTTTGTTTTATGTCACCTTGTCTCTTCTAAAAGCTTGTCAGAGGCCCTACTTACTTTCTACTTTTACATTTTGCATTCACTATGTTTTCAGGCAACATGGTGTTGCCTGGTTGTAAACAGCCACACTGAAGAGTACTCTGCAATCACAGTCAAGTACAGACTTTGCGTACGTATTCTACCAATATCTTTGAAAAGCATTTAATTGAAGGCAAAGAAATAAATTCCATAGGACAAGCTATACAGATTCTAGTCTAGAATCTAAAATAGCAATATCAGTAGTACCTGTTTATGCTACTGCTTTCCTGTAGCCTACTGCTATGTCAAGTTCATACTCCCCATCCTCCCTCTATGAAGGGTTTGGAAAGCATATTCCTCCAGAGCTTCCCTTTAGGAAACAGACCACCTCAACATTTAATACTCATCTAAACACTAAAAGGAATCAGAATTAACTACATCTGTTCTAATGAGGCTTCCCAGACAAGCAAGGCTTTTATGAATTGCTTGTCTTCCTCACAAGGCTTTTGGCATTATAGGCCACGTTCAGTCAAATAAGCAATGTTTCAAACTGAAGTCTGAACAAGACTCGCAAGAGAAGGTAGAAAAGGAAAACTAAAGAGTAGTTGTAAGTGTAATTTTATACTACATCTACTTTATTAGACAGACTTCACGTGCAAGCCAAACACATCAGGCTATGTTCTGCTACTATGAAAACACAGACTTCCTTTATTTTCATGTACATGCAATTCAGGTAAGACTTTAAAAGGGTATTTTAGGTTTGTCTTTAGACTAGGCACTAGAACATCAGATGCACTGGCTCACTCTAGTAATTATTCTGTGTTGGACACTAACTGAATTTAAGTGTTCAAATCTAATCAGCCACTCATATTCAAGAAAAAATAAATTTAAATTGCAACATAACTACTCAGAAAAGCTAAGAGAAAAACATAAGAAGTTAAAGAGTTTGCCTACTCTGGCAAACGAAAAGCTGTGTGTACTTATGACCACTGTCTAGGAACAGATCAACAAGTAACAGAATCCAAAGGCAAAGTCTGTATAAGAACAAGACTCACATGGGACATGAGTTTACAGACAGGAGTGTTCTGACACTGTAACAAAGTTCTGAGCAACTCCTCAGTCAGCATTAAAGAAAAAACACCTATGCTGTAGACCTCCTTATACTATTGTGTCACTGATAGCATGGAACCAAGCTTGTTTTAATAGGGACTATCTGAGCAAAGGAAAACATGTAAACAGTTAAAGGAAAAGCTTACCACATTCTGCGGTGATTGATGCTAAACCTCCATAAATAAAGGGCTTCCAGTTTAGCGCTGACATTATCAATTCTTCTTTCTGTGAAATAAGACAATGATTTAATGCTTCTATAAGTACATCTCTTATATAAATAAGTATGTTAACATTTAAGAAAACTTTGTGCCTTGTCCATTTAAGATAGACCTTCTAAACATACTAAGGGTAAAAACATTTACTATCTTCAACAATCAGAAGAAAGTCAGTAATACTGCACAAAGGCATCTGGGTTCAAATCAATGTCTCTACTATGTATTTGGGCCACCACTACCCTCACCATGAAAGGTTAAAGTAGTTTATCTCCCAGGCATGGTCCTAAGGAACACTGCAGTGAATAACCTCCAATGTCTCTTACCAAACTGAATTAGCTTGACTATCTCCTGCAATCAAACAGAACCTTAAGACTGTCATTACTGAATTTGTCCCCTTTTTTCCTCATATCAACATGAACATGAGCCAGTACACTTGGACAGAAAATAAAGGCACATACAACATTCTGCCTCCATTAAGGCCTATTTCTGCCACCAGTGTTCACAATATTCATTCTTGTATATGTTGTAATAAAAATATAAAAATAGTGCAATCAGGTGCATAAGGCCTTTTACAGTAAAAAAGGCTGCTCTGAAAAGTCAACTGAGTGAATTTGACAAGTTAACCACAAATCATAATCAACGATGACATATACTTTGCAAAATGCTGAAGTAATCCAGTTATTTTAGAGATAAGAACTGCAAAACCAGACTATTCCTGCCCATACAAGATTGCCCTTCCCAAAACCAGGTAGGTGTCTCCACTGCTTCTTTCCTCTACTTCATAATATAAATACCTTCCATTCCCCATTTTCTACAATATCCTGCTAAACAATGGATATTACAGTTACTTTTTTGCCAATTAATTTTGTGCAATAACTGTACTTTTTTTGAAACTATTTCCTTTGACACTTCCATTCTCTGTTACTTTGTTTATTCACCTGTACACTTCAGATGGAAAATTACAGAAGACAGTGCCAAGTTTTGTGATAAGATGAACCTTCTTTGGTCACTTCCTCTAGAAGTGCCAATAATCCAGTGTCCAAATTAAGTTAATAGAAGTTGCAGACACTGAGCATGCCTGAAGAGTTACTGCAACCCTCGTTTTCCTTTTGTCATCTTTACTTCACAAGGAGCTAGCTGGGACTTCAGTCTTCTGACACTCAACACAAAAAAAACCCAAACATAGAAGCTCAAAGCACACAATTTCAAATACTCAACAACCCAGACCACAGAAATCCATCTTATTCTTTAGGCCATTGCTGAAAACACCACTAATGTAAAAAAAAAAAAAAGAGGCAAGTAAGGGCATCCACTATATTGGCAAAAAGAGTGCAGTACAAAGATAGGAGCCATGGCCATAGATTACTCCAGCTTTTCTGTATGAAAGCAGCAGAGCGACAGGGGTGTGACACCGTGCCAGACACAGACTGCTTCCAGCTCCAAGTCCCTCATATTCCTGTCCTGCCACAATTAATGGCAGATCATTTAATTAATGGAGACAAAGCTAAACTCAGGTTCCCCACTATCAGCCACACACGATGTTTGTTTTTGAGAAACTTGTCAAAATTGAAGATACAGTTAACTTTTCCCCCTCAACAGATTAAAACAAATTTTCATCTATCACAAGTATAATGCTGAAAAAACTAAAATGTAACTGTGCTTTGTTTGGTTTGTATTTCACTCTGCCTAGGCAATGAAGGCTACTCAGTTTTTCTATGTAATTCTGGGGCACTGACACAATGTAGAAGTATGCAAGCACAGCCAAATAAAATTTTCAATTTGTACACCGATTTACCAATATTAGCTGAAGTTTTTATATATGTACAAGATACCCTAATGCAGAAATTTTATAGCACACTCCCTTTGACATATCCCAAGGTGAAGGCCTTACATAGCACTGGCAAGGTTTGTACCTCTGAAAGGCCCACTGGTCTCCCCTCCTGCTATTTAGGCTAAACTAACCATCTGAGTCTTTCCACTTATTTCTGCCTTGCTTTCTTCCTCCTAGCTTTCCATAGTTGCAGGAAGAAATTAAAGCAGAGTGGCAGATCTAATCCCCTCTCAAAAAAAATCCAAAAAATACACTAGCAAGCAACTTCACCCTTTCACTTCAGCCGTCTCACTTTCCAAATTGTTTTTCTTCTTACTCAGTTTTTCCCTACACTGATAAAAACATTAAGCATGTCCTTCGAAGAATTCCTTTAGCAATTGGCAATTAAATTGGCAAACTACTTAAAAACTGAGTCCAGCCCTCATTATAGAATAAATCAAGGTCTCCAATTTTACTAGAAAGAAATTGTCCTTACCAAATATACACCATTTTTTCCTGAAGATGAACAAGAGGACAGAGGTGATACTACCACTAAAGGACAGTAGGCTAGGTTAATACAGCAATTCATCCACACACTCTTTGCAAAAGTCAGAAGCCAGTGTGATTACTTTTAATTGGCAGTGTGACTGAAATAAAATCAAAAGCCCAAGTTCCATAAAAGAATGCGTCACTTAAATACTTATTTCCTTGTTAGAAAACAGACTTTAAAAGTCACATAGAATCACAAAACAGTTTGGGTTGGAAGGGACCTTACAGACCATCTAGTTCCAACCCCCCTGCCCCGGGCAGGGCCCCCTTCCCCCAGCCCAGGGGGCTCCCAGCCCCGTCCAACCTGGCCTTGAACCCTTCCAGGGAGGGGGCAGCCACAGCTGCTCTGGGCACCCTGGGCCAGTGCCTCACCCCCCGCACAGGGAAGGATTTCTTCCTTGTAGCTAACCTAAATCTACCCTCTTTCAGTTTAAGCCTTTACTCCTTGTCCTGTCACTATACTTTCTGATAAAGAGTCCCTCTCCATCTTCCCTGGAGCCCCCTTTAAGCACTGGAAGATCACCATAAGGTCTCCCCCGAGCCTTCTCTTCTCCAGGCTGAACCCCCCCAACTCTCTCAGCCTGGCCTCACAGGGAAGGTGCTCCAGCACCCTCATCACCTTCATGGCCTCTTCTATCAATTTTTGTATTGGTTAACAATATTGCTAGTAAAGTAGGCACACGGTATACTCCAGTTTACAGTAGGTCTAGCTGTTAAAAATGGTTTTGACCCTTGATTGTCACAGAAGGCTTATGCTAAATGAGTGACTAGTTCTAAAAAGTTATTCCTTGTAATATAAGCATGCACGTATAAGACGGTTATCCAAGCAATACTTTTAACTGCATGGATTGCACTGCAGACACACTGCTAAGACTTTGTATTCAAGCAGCGAAGCATCACCAAAAAGAAACTTAAAAATCAAGGCTAAAGCTAGCAACCATCGTGGCAAGTTCTTGTAAAATAATAGTAGTCTTTGGGAAGCCAGTGAAAGCCCCACCCTCCGCAACTAAAGGGATTCCCTGCAGCACACCCCCCCCCCCCCCCAAGCAGCACTGCAAGCCTATTTAAACACCTGGAGCAAGGACACGGTAACACCCGTTAAGAGGTAAAGGGAGGCAACAACGACTGCACCGACCAACTTTTCAGCGACAAAACGAAGCTCGTCGCCCTTGAGTTGAGCATCAGAAGGAAGATTAAAAAAAAAACACACCACAAAAAAAACAACTAAGAGAAGAAAACAGCATGTCCCTGCTCGGGGGTCCCCCGCCCTCCTCAGAGATCGCAGTCGGTGAAACACACCGAGAAATACCTACACGCGGCGGGCGAGACGAAAGATGACCCCGCTGCGACCTGAGGGACCAGGAGTTACCGCTGCTGCCGCCCCACTCACCGCCGCGTCCCGCCGCCGCCCCGCCCGTTATAAAGCGCGGCCCGGCCGCGCTGCCCTCAGCCGGGGCGGCCGTTGGGGAAGGCGGGGCCTCGGCCCGCCCCGCCCCGCCCCGCCCCGCCGTTGCTGGGCGGGAGGTGGCGGGGGGAAGGCGGGCTCGCCTGAGGGGATCGCTCTGTCTCTGTGTGTGTGTGGGGAGGGGCTGGATTTAAAGGCCCCGCGGAGCCGCGGCCCTGAGGGGAGGTTTGGTTTGAGGGGGACGCCGAGCAGCCGGCCTGTCATGAACTGGGGAAAAAAAATGAACTGCCCTGTCCTTCCAGTCAGAGGCTCTCCCCGCCGCTGGCCTTGCGAGGCTTCTGGCTGGCGGGGCAGGGTGGTATTTTTCCATTAGCAGTCCCTCCCCAGGAGGCTGGAACAGGTCTGTCAGGTATTTCAGTGCTCCTCGGTTAATGAACAGGTCACCCCTCAAGGTTTCTCCTCATCATTAACTATAACGACGTTAATTTTGTCCCTTGGTTTACAGTTGCATGGCCACCTGTGCTGCCCAGCGACACGGCACCAGTATCTGGGTTAAGCTTCCTTAAATCGGTACAGGAGCCTTTGGTATCTGCTCTGTGGAGGAACAGAAAGAGGCAGTGTGAATTTAAATAGCTATTTTGCTCTTCAGAATACCCCGTTGAATATTTTTGACAAAACAGTTCCATGGGTTATTTATTTTTTATTATTATTACGCAGCTTTTGCGATTCTAACGATGTTTCTTTGCACTACCAACACGGAAATTATGCACCCAGTATGTCAGCTTTACATTGCTTTGCAAATATATATCCAAGGGCCTTCCAGAAGGATTGCAGTGTGCTGTACAGGACTTTGGCTGTGTCCACCACAATGCTGTGTGGCCAGAGGAGGAACATAGGGGCTATCCAAAAGGACAGGTCTCTGTCGCTGTATGTGTGGCAGCGACCAGTCCACAATGACTGGACAAGAACCAGAACTAGTCTGGTTCAGAGCCTGGGACTCCCCGTGAAGTAGTTGAAATTAGCTTTTTCTCTGCCCCTAAAGGCAGCCTGTTCTGGCCACTCAGCACTTTCCCCTCCTGACTGAAGAGCTGCCAGACGTGTTTGTAGGATCTGTCCCCATAGTGCAGCCCTGCTGCCACTGTCACTCCGCTGCCCCTGAAGTGGATGACATGCTTTACCCCTGAAAGGTCAAAACATCCTGTGGTATTGCTCCCCTCACTAATCTTGGGGCACGGCTGGCGACTAAGAAGGTTTATTTAAGCTTACTGTCTGGTGGAAGAAGGGGATAATGTCCATTCAGGTCTCATTAAGAAGCTGGCTGTGGCCTTACATGAATCTGTCAATAAAACATAAGCAATTCAAAATTGGGTCCCAGTGCCCTGTAAATGCTTCATGCAGTTAAAATAGTGCTTTACAACCACTCAAGTCCATCACAGACCTCCCAGAAATTTTACATTTCAGTTACAGCACGGGCAGCCCACAGAGCTCGTGCTCCAATCATGGTGTTGCAAAGTTGTCTTTGCAGATGGGCCTCTCGAAAGGTAGGTACAAATTCACACCTCGGAATTGGTGCTCATGTTCAGACTCCCTCCCGACACTCACAGTCACTGTCTAGTACTTTCTAGATTTTATATCCACATCAGGGAGGATCTTATCTGACGTAAACTTTGAATGGCTCCTTTCTTTCTGTTTCCACAGAGATCATTTGGACTGATTCTACTGCTGAGTGATTTTGCAGGACAGCCACTTCTGTTTTCTGACTTCCCAAGTTTGTGTCTCCTTTTAAGAAGGACTTTAGTTCCAGTTTGACCTTAAGTTGTTCCTGGAGTTTGGCCAGCTCCTTCCGCAGGCTGCCGGTTTTTATTATCTCTGATGCAAACCAGTTGCTGCTCACATATTACAGCTTGCACCTGATCACATTTCTTTAGTACTCAAGCGTGTACTTCTGAATAATGAGGCTAACTTTTGTTACTTCTAGTGGCTTTTGGATGGGTCCTCTAAATAACTATTTTCTTGTATTTTCAACCCGATTCATACTACAAGATAGGTAATGCTTTAATCAACAGCCAATAGACTATTTCTGGCAAGCTGCCTTGAGCCTGACATCAGTGCCGTATCAGCAGTTGACTTTGGTGCTCAGCACTTTTTCACATGTCTCTGAATGATCCATGTGTTACCGGTGTGCTACTGGTTACACAGTCTTACAACAGATTTGTCCAAAAGCCAGTTCTTCTCTGCTGGGCTGGGTAAGGCTAAGGTTTAATTAATTAGTTCCCAGACCCCGAACCTTAACGCTCCTGAGTTTCCTCACACATGTTTTATGTTTCTTTTTTAAACAAAAGAGGGCCACCCTCAAACAATTCTACCAGAGAACTCTGCTTTTTGTGCATTGATTCTTGTTTCTCTGTTTCCACTGCTTCTTAAAGTGGAAGAAAATTTCTCTTCTGGTCTCTGCAGTGGTGAAGACAGTTTTGCCTGGTGTCCTACTGCTTAAATGAATGGTTAGTGAAGGGACCCAGATGGTTATGGGCATTACTCAAACTGCCTTGTTGTTTTGTCACTAGTTGTAACCACTGGAGAGTTTCCTTTGTCTCTTGGAAACTTTCATAAGCATTAGTCACATAATTCATTTGCTTTGTTCATGTCCCATCAGCTGCATGATGAAAGTAAGTCTGGCACATTGGAGTCAACTGCTCCCGGCCCTGGAACAGCCTTCTCATCTTCAGTCTAAGAAGGAGTTAATCTGACCCTCAGTCACACAGCAGATGACTTTTTGGGGAAAAAATAAACACTCAGAGTGCTATTGGTATGTGCAAAAAATATGAGACATATTAAACAGTCCTTCCATTGTGTTTGCTGGGGGAAAGCCTCAGCTAGAACACCGCATCTGGCTACGTGTGATGCATTTCAGGAGGGCTGCAGAGAGGAGTTAGGAGAATAAGGCTAGGGATACAGAACACAATCTGCAAGGAAAGATTGAAAGAAGTAGACTTGTTTATTTTTAAAAAGATTGAGGATAACATAATCTTCAAGACTGAAAGGGGCCTTATAGAGGAAAGGAATTATCTGTTCTCCACCTCTTGTATTAGACATTAGAACAGATTTTCTAGTGGTATGGGCAGTGCTAGGTGAGACTGGGAAGCTTGCAGTGCCTTCGTCATCACAAGCTCTTAAAAACTGTGAAGCAGCTGTTTCTCAGGAGTAGTTTCAGTCTGGATGCCCAAGCATCAGTGTGGAGTCTTGAGGATCTCTTCCAGCCCTTTTTTTCTGTAATTATTCAATGACATTTCCTGCTCCAGCTTCTAGCGGATAGGTATACAATGACAACACATCTTAGCATTTTTAACTTAGTAATGGACTCTGCTGTGCAGAGTTCAAGGAGAAAGGGAAGTGAAAGCAGGAATAACAGTAAACGTTATTTTGTAACCTTTTTGTTAATAAATATTTTTTGAGAATCTGATTTGGGCAAGAGCCAAAGGTCTTCATCCTATCCTAGTTTTGTGGATATAAAAGGACTATGTTATTTGTTTTTAATGTGTAAAGGGTGAAGGAACGGAGGGCAGTTCTGGGCTTTGAGGGTGAAGGAACTGAGAATATTTCCGGTCTTTGAATGGACGAGAGAGACATACAGCAAAAGTTCCCAGCAAGGCAATTCTAGTAAATGTAAACCCGTAATCCAGACAAAATTTTCTGAAAGTGTTGCAATCTTCCAGCAGGTCCTGGGAAACTGATTTCTCTTAATTTATGAGACTCCCTACAGAAATAGTAATTTGTATGTATGTTATGGTGTTGGATTTGATGTTATTTGAAAGAGCAAATGAAAAGCTGTTAAAGTTTCTTGGATAGGAAGGCACTACAAAGATTTTCACTACTATACAACACTTTCCAACCTCAACACGTGATCTGAGAAGTAGGCTGTAGTCCTCTGACCTCTTTCCAAATAAAGATCAGTCGCAATTGCTTCACAGAGGCTTTTGTCCAACATGGGACTGCAGCTAAACGATGCCAGTCTGGATGCTAGTAGGTGCAACACAGAGAAAAGCAAACATATTTCTATGCCCTATTAAAAACCAGGCAGCGTGTGGTGTGATGGCCTAACATTTTCCACAAGAGGAGATGATTCAGTGTTGAACAAAGGACAGGGAGGTCAGAGCGACACCAAGTAACATGGTACATACAGTATGTTTTCTACCACTTCAGGTAAACCCTTTACTTGGCAGTACTCAATATTCAGGGATAGTAGGAACCACCTGCTGGGGGGAAATACATATTTACACGTGACTATCCTGTGAAAGCAGAGATGCGGTTGAAGTAGTTCTACAGTAACTGAAATGTGATTCATGCAAGACAACGGAGAGTGAGCTGTGGTGGGAGGTCACCCCAAGACATGTCCTTCACAGTACAGGATTTAGGTTGATCAAAACGCAGAAACACCTACGTAGGAAAATTTCAAACTTTCAGTGCCATTACTTTTTAAAGAAGCCTCACTATCCTCTTCCCTGATTCCCAAGTTTTGATCATTTTCCCATAGTGTCTATAGAATATTTTGCATTAAATCATTGCCCAAATAATCCAGTTTTTCTTCTGTTTACCACAGACTGGCTTTAGGTAACCCAGCTTTTCCTACCAGTGGTTGAATACCATTTCCTTCTTGTTAAATTTAATAATGTACCTTACAAATTTTTGTAAAATTAAGCATTTAAGTAACATCACAATTTTTTTGAAATTGCAATGTTTTGAAAAGACAGGATGCTTTCTGATGCCTTCTGCTTTGCAGGCCTCTGATTCACAGCATGACAACACCAGGGTCCCAGAATTATCCCTGTGTTTGGCCAAGATGAGCTGATTGCTGTTAACCTTGAGCAAAACAGATTATTCTGCACAGCACGGGAAAACAGCTGTGGGATTTTGTCCTTGTGGTAGTCACCTGGCACGATAAACACATCTTCAATAAGTCACTCAGGACCTTTATTGTGCAGTGGAATTCCTTGCCAATGCTGCAAAGCAGCAGCCACATGCAGGAGCTCACATCTCCACTCGCTTCCAGTAACAAAGTCTGACAGAGTGGGAAAGCCACAGTCTTCCAAGGGCTGAACAGGCACAGACTGCAGTGATAGACACCCTGGGATTCTGCGGAAACCTGACAGCTG